AGGCAACTCTGGCTCAGCCCATAGGTGACTTGCTTAAGGGGACACATCATTGGGTCCTGGAACCAGCAATGAAGCTGAAAGATCCTAATTCCTGGTCTGAAAACCTTTCCCAAAAGAAATTTCTCCAAATTCTACAAAGTCCTTTCCAGATGCCTGTCACGTGCCTAAGTACTTAAGCCAGAACTTGCTGTGGCATTCTCCAGGTGTTGAAAATGTCTCATCTCCTGTAACGAAGGACTGGAGCGGGCTTTATCAGGAACAGAATCCCCTTCTTCATAGGAGTGTAGGAATCCAGAGTCAGTGCTGCCTCACCAAGGGTGGAGTAAAGGAGAGGACCCTGGGGGGCTCTGGCACTGAGCTTTGCAATCTTGGGCAAGTCACCAGAACTCTCTAACTTCTCCCAGAAAGGCCAATGGGCACAATCACCTTGTAGGGGAGCTGCCAGAATGAGGTATGACGCGCCTGTGGGCTTCAAGTGTACATTGCATGAATGGTCATTTAGAAAAAGAAAATCTCCACGAGGCCAGTATGGCCGACAGAGTCAGCTCCTGGTTTCTCTTGTGCTTCTGGAGGACCCTGGCCTGTAGAAAGGCAGCAGGCAGAGCAGGCAGAGCAGACAGGTGGCTCTAAGTCATGAAACATACATTCTCACCTTGGGCACCTGCTGTTTTTATTGACTAAGATCCTCCCCTATACCACCATCACTTAGCAAATACCAGGGCTAGTTATTAATTTAAAAAACATGTTCAGCCTGCGCTTACAGTAACTGCCATCCCCCCCCCTCGGGAATGAGTTTTTAGTGATGTTTTTAAAATTAGCTGGCTCTTGAATTTCATTTTCCATCCAAGCTTCCCTGTTATCTGTAAGGTCACAGAAACACGTAGGCTGCGGACAGTCCAATCCCAGATATTAGGCTCTTGGAATTAAAAACCGAAATAAGTAAATAAAGAGAGAATGCCCAGGGATTTTTTTTTTTTTTTTCAGAGCAGCAAGCCGGTCCCCAGCTTTGCCGGAGACATAGGTTTCCTCCTTAAGTGGCTCTCTCCCCTGAAATTTTGAGGTAACGGCTGAGGAAGAGGAGGGGAAAAAAGGCCCGTGACCTATATAGTCAAGGTCTGCTGCTTCTCCGCTCAGCAACAGGAAAGAATCACAATGCATTCTGGAGGGAGAAGAAAAAACCCAAGTGCTGATTGTCCCTTTAAGCCATTCCAATCACAGGCTCGCAGTTAAAATAATGCTCACCTACTGCGCTTCCAACTGGGCCATCTACCTTTTTCGCTGGCGGGGTCAAGCCCAGTCAAGCCTGATGAGCTGCCACGGCCCCCGTGAGCGCTGCTATAGGCCCGGCTACACCTGTTTATCGCCAAGTCACTTCATTTCCCTTCCCCTCCTCCCTGCTTGAAAAGGAGCATTAATTAAACCGGTAAACAAGCCGGCTCCCATTCTAAATCAGAGCTGCAGGCAACGGAGAGATAACTTGGGCTCCGGAGAAGAGGGATTTTCAGTTAATTTATGGAATCCACCGTCACTCTCTCTCCAGCTCCCCGCTTAACGGGGAAATTGAAGCAGACAGCCTTTGTCTAAACACTTCTTTTGCCCAGAATATCTTAATTTTTTTTTCTATTTGAATGTTTAATAAGGTTTGGGGTGCTGCTGCTTATTAATTGTCATGGTGCAAACGTTTGGGTGTTAGCACTTGGCTGGTGGCTGCTGGGCGCAGGTCCTCCCCGTGCAAGCGTGGAGGGAAGGACCTGCTTCTCCAGGCGAAGCTCAAGACAACCGGTGTAGGAGGGAGGCTGCAGTTTGGGGGAACCCCGAAGTCAGGGGAGCCCAGAAATGCTCTGCCCAGAGGCACCGCCCTTTCCTCTTTTCTTCCTCTCCCGCAGCTGGAGCCCGGGTCAGGCGCCCGGCCGGCCGCGTCCCGACCACCCCAGCCGGGTCTTGGGGGGATCCCTCTCCGCCCCAGGGTTGGGCCCCGGCTCATTTCCGGCGGCTGCTGCGAGGACGCGGCGCTGCCTAATTAATTTCTCCTGGAAGGGGGCTCTGTGTGCGCCTCTTTCCCAACTGATGTCTGGAATTCCTTGGTGGAAGTGGGAAATCGCACTGAAATTGCAGTTTTCGGAAGCCGAGAGGCAGTCCAGGAGAAAAGCCCTGCGTTAAATTCTTGTCATTTCATATGTAAACCTTTCGGGACAAAACCCGGGAATGTCTGATCCAGATTTCAAGCCAGCCTGCTTTTCCGGGTGGCATATCCAGTAATCATGTTGACAAATTAATGGTAGAGAATTAGTTGTACCTTAAAGATTTAAATTATATTATGCGGCACATTGTCATAAAATGATATAAAACAATAGGAAAATAAATGTAAATTAATTCCAAGTTACTGACATGTAAAACACCAGACTGACATCTGTACACTTCACGACGCGCTCAAGGCGCGGTGGCGGAGCCCGGAACGCCAGCGTCCCTCCCCAAAGACGCGGGAAGGGGCGCGCGCGGTCCCCAGGGGGCCCCCCTGGCAGGCGCGGTCCTGCCCGGCGGCGCGGCGTGCCAAGGGTTAAGTGCGCCGATCGCCGCTCTCGGCGGCTCCCCTCCCCTGTGTGCTGATTTTCAGGCCCACCGAGCTGCCCGAGAAAGTTTTCAATTCGACGAGGCTGGAGCGTTTCAGGGGCTTGAGCTCCTTAGAAAGCTTCGGGGGCCCCCGAGGGCCGCGGTGCAGGGAGGGGGCGGCCTGCCCCGTCCTGGACACGCTAATTACAAGGATTCGGTTTCCCGGCTCTGAAGGAATGCATTACCTGCAGCAAAGGAGGCTCGGCCTCTCAGGAAGGCCCCGAGAGGAAGCTGAATGCCCCAGTGAATTCCAGCCCCATCCCTAGGTTTATACCCACAACCCCAGCCCATGCTGAGAGACTAATCGCTTGGCCATTGTCAGGGCTGTTGTCCAATCAGCCCCTGAATAGCAAAACTTCACAATGCCGAGTATGAATTAGAGGGGAACAAATGTGGATGCAGACTTTTTTTGCAACAATACCTAACTGAGCCTTTCAGACAGGACAACGGATGCACAAAAGCTCGACGGAAATTGGAGTAACTTTTGGAGGCCCTTGTAGCTCCCGTCAATAAGCGTTAGCTCCATAATGGCGTCGTGGGCCTGCTCCATCAGCCCCCACCTCGGTTTTTTTTTTTTTTTTTTGTGAGGTGGATCAATTGTTCACGAGGTGGGGGGAAATAGTCATAAAAAAATTGGGCATTTTTGTTTTCCTTGTCTTGGAAACGGTGGCTCTCTGTTGAACGCGGCCAAATGCGTTTGTCTCCTTTTATTTTTTTTTTATGTGAATTGTAGATTTGGTCATTATTGAGCCCAGGGTAAAGTACTGACAATGTCCCCTCCCTCCTCTGCCCACCCCCAAAAGAACAGAATGGCTTCTTGAGCCATACAAATGTCAGGTCTCTGTTTTAAAATTTAGCTTTGTTTACCCAACAGAATGGAATTCATTACTGTGTAAAAGTGGTTCCATTTTCTGATCTTTTTATTCAAAATGTTGAGAGTATCAAAAAGCTCATTTGAAGGTCACAGGTTTATGTATCTATTCTCTTAAGTGTTTTAGAAATTCATATGGAGGACACAAAAGGTGGAAAATGTGAAAACATACTGTTCATTGTTTATCCTAACCTTGCCATGGTTATTAGATAAATGAGTGTAGGGGGAAAAAAATGGCATTAAAAGCCATTGTGAACTGGGAATTTTTTTTCCCCTGAAGACTGTTAATTTTAGCCCTTGATCTGTAAAGGTCAATTTCTAATTCTTTTTACTGTGCAGTTTATATAACTTCTGCATTTCAAGTCTATAAAAAGCTTTTGCAGACTTTTCATAATGTAAGTAGCAATTTATTTCATTATGGTTTGAATTTTTTATGTAATTCCTATGGACATTTTGATGAAATTGTCAGGCTTAAAAGCTGTAGTGCTTTTCATTTGGGGGGTGTGTGGATTTTTTTTTTTTTTTTTTTTTTGCTCCGATCCATTCTTGCTGGCTAATTTAAAATTAGTAAGATTAATCAGTTCAGTGATTTAAAAGACCACACTTTGATTGGAACAAAGTCTGAGGCAAAATCATTTTATTTATTTTTTTTATTAGTAAATGATTTAAAAGGTCTTTTCAACTAGTTATCTGAAGCCGATATTTAACTGTTACTTATTCCACTAATTTCTATCTTTTGTTAAAGAACTTCCCAGCCTAAATCTCCTCGCTCTGTCCCATGCTAATTGCAGCTTACATTATATAAATGGCTTTGTAAAGAAAACTATAACTCTGAGCCTTGAAAGTTGCGTGTTTCTATTTGCTCAAACTTGATGCACTTGTTTGAAGAGGGTCATTGCAGGGAGAGCTGTGTAGCCTGTAAGAATGTCCTGGATAACAAGCTTAAACAGAACCTTTTGTTGTGCCTAGTATTCTCAGGACTCCAAAATGAGGCCTCCTTTTTCTAACTGTGGGCTGAAGTGGTTCATTACTGCTGTTTCCTCGCCAGGCCAGGGCTCAGCCATTCCCACTACTGAAGGTCTGTAACTTCCTTAAAAAGGAAGAAGGAAAACATGGCCCAGAAAGGTCTTGTTAGCACTTCCTATGTGAAATTAGCAGCTTTCTAAAAGGTACAACTCCAATTACCTCACATTGTGGAGGCGAGCACAAACTCAACAATATGCACAGCCTAGCAAGTGACATTCTGTCTTTCTAGAGTTACTTCCCTAATTAGGAATGAAGAAGCTCTATTCTGCTGAGTGCATCTATTTACAGTGGCCACAATGCTTTAACTTGAGCATCCTTCTCAAAGACCAGTGTTAAAAAACACAAGTGCTCTTTTCGCCGAGCAGGCTATGGTGAGGCGACACATTCCTAACGGTTACGCCCTGGGGGTGGTGTGGGGGGGAGTGTAGCCGCTTTGGCAGGATTGTTAACACTTCAGGATTCATTTTCCACAATAACGCCCCTGCCCAGAGAGCTCTGGGAATTACAGTGGACAATGGGAGGCATTCTTAGGAGGGTCTAATGATGGAATAAAAAGAAAAATATTTATTGCTTTTGACAGTTCCACAAGGGGCAAAAATCCTTGTCGTGGCTAAAGTTTCCCTAGCTGTTGGAGGAAGGCGGCTCACAGGGACTCAAACAGTTCCACTTCCTTTGTTAGGAGGCTGAGGACCAGGGCCAAGCTGGGAAATTAAAGATTAAGTTCATTAAGGTAAGATAATTGTGCGGAGCCATTGTTGTTGATACAGGTGGAGCGATGGGGGCTGGGGTAGGAAGCCCATTTACATGTGGGGACGACCCATTAAACAGGCTTAACAGACGTGCAACGCAAATATGTTTATTATTTGCCTGATGGCTGACCTGTGCTTCACTGTTTCATTAGTCAACAGGCCCCCAAAGGAGGGCCAGGACTCCCTGCCGGGAACCAGGTGGAAGAGAATGCAAAGCAGCTTCCAGAAAGGAAAGAGCCCGTCCAGTGGGCCCGTGGGGAAGGACTGGCCTTCCTGCCCCTCCAACACCCTGTCCCCATATCTGAGTTCCCCTTGGTCTCCATCCCCATCCTAGAGGACCAGGCTCCTTCTGGCCAGGTAGAGAGGACAGGGCTCTCCCACCTGAGGTATCTTTGGATCTTCCTGGTTTGTGCAGAAGCACTCCTGGGTGTCTGAGTTTCTCTGGGAAGCTTCTCCCAAGTTCCCTTCCCGAGGGGTGACCGCCCTCCTCCAGAGGAACTTCTTGGGAAGTCCGTGCTGCTTGGATTTTTCAATTTGTTTTTCAGAGAAAAACAAACCAAACATACGCCCCCTCACCACCACCACCACCACCACCTATGCAGATCCAGCCCCCTGCTTTGTGATTGTAAACTGTGGTTTGTCTTTGTTGGGGAGAGCTCCTCCCTGTCTCTTCTCCAACTTGGGAGACCTTAAGTACTGAGAACTTGAGGGAAAAAAAATATGTAGGCAGCATGGAGGGATTCTGGGGAGCCTGGGTCTGTCTCTGCGATCTGTGTGAAGAGAGAAGATGGGGAAGGGAGGTGCCCAGGTTGTGATCAAAAGGCTCAGAATGTGTCTGGGCAGGATTCGAGAAAGTCGTTCCCTCCCAAGCTGCCCTTAGGTTCCCTGTGTCTTGGGCAGGAGCGGAAAGATGTGCATTGATTTTGGTGGGGTCCACAGTTCCCCGCCCCTGGTCCCTCGACTTTTTTTTTTTTTTTTTCTGTTTCTGGTAAGGAACTGAGAAATGCAGTTAAGAGTTGGAGATGTCTCCAATAGCAGAGATCCTGAAAGCAAAGCACTTGTTTATTTGCAAGATAGGGTCATTCCTTACGCAAAAACTCACCTGCTTTCCTTTCTTTCTCCTCCTGCCCTGCCCCCAGCCCCCCTCTGAGGAAAATAAACAGTGTCATAATGATTTTGGTAAATAGAATTCTTTTCAGACTACCTGATCTTGGGGAGGCATTCTGAGAAGACCCCAGGAGTTAGTGTTGGCGTGTGAAAAAAGGACCTCAGTTTAGAGTTTAAAATGTACAGACAGATACAATCACATGGTGAGAAGATTTTTCCAGAGTTAAGAATGACCATGTTTGGATCCATTCAGATTGAATTATGTCTCCGAACTTGTTGTTTTCTTTTGAAGGAAAAGGTTACATAAGATTGTTGATTTCCTTTAGCCTGCCAGGAATCTATAATGGGGAGTGAAACGGAGAGTCCTTTCGTTATTTTCATAGATTACATCAGAGAAGTTTTTGAATAAAACATTTTCAGTGTGTAATGTGTCTATCGGTCTGGGCAGAACTTGAAATAATTCTCCAGCAAGCAACATTTACTAAACTTCTTGGTGTTTCTCTTTTCTTGTGCTTATGTCAGGACTTCTTTTTATTTATTTCTATAAAGTGTCCTTTGTCCTTGAGAAGGTTGAATAGACTTCTTTCAAAAGTTATCAGAGACCGGTCTGATAAATCAGACGAGAAATTAGGAACATCTGAGTTATTTTCTAAGATGGGTTAATGAAGAGATGAGGATTTGCATTTTCTTTTAAAGACCTAATGAGCAAATAAAACAGAGGAGGGAGACAGGCTCCTCAGCTGTCACATTGTGATTTATCAGAGAGCAGAAAGGAAAATTTGATACAGACAAGATTCCAACTGCAGCTTCCCCGGTATGCATTAATGTTTTGAGAGCAAGCTGGTAATCACTGGCCTTGTACAATTAAAAATATAGCTTGAAAACCTTGGACAGTGTCCTCGGAATATTTGTGAGTACTGAAACATTTATCTCCAGAGACCCAGCACTTTAACGGAAAAGAAGAAGGAATTGTCCATAATCAGAAAAGAAAATATGCTCTAAACTGAAAGAACTTTATATTTTCAACCCTACTGAATTAAGAAGGTTTTTTTCTTTATTGTTTTTTTTTAAAAAAGGCGAAAGCTTGTCATCACATTGCCAGAAAAAAAGGGGACCTTCGTTTTGGAAATTTAGAAGTTTGAGGTCCTTAGAAATGCCACTTGAATTTGGAACTGTGATTAAAGTTGGTAACAGGATGGGAGTGTAGGGAGGGAGCCGCTGTCTTGTGGCACTTGGGACATTTCTGGATGGGGAAGAATCTCAGAGGCTCCTTTTTCTGCCTTCGTTTCTGCAGAGCCTGAACTCCAGCCTTCCTTTTAGTCTAGATGGGGGGCTGGGGGACTGCCACCAGGAGCAACCAGAGCAGAGTCTGAAAAACCTTGCAGAGGGCTGCTTCTCACTAAGGCGCGAGAGCTTTCACTATTTCAGGCTGTTGAATCACAATTTTTGAAGATTCTGTTGCAATTTTAAAATTTGAATAATGATTTTTTTAAAGAAACTTGCTATTCATAACAACATTTGTGGGCTCTTTTGTACTGTATAGTAGACATGAAAATATAATCTACCATGTTGAATTTTAATGAAAGTTTGCTATTCCCTAGTTTCTGCAGTTTTTTTTTAAATAGAGGCAAAATTTACATAGCATAAAATTAATCACTTTAAAGTGTACAATTCAGTACCATTTGTTATACTCAGACTGCTGTCTGTACTTTGTTTTAGTTATAATTTCTCCCAGTTGCAGAATCACAGACAAATCTGTAGAAGAATTATTAAACACTGATATTCATTCAACAAACATTTAGTGAGAAAATTATTACAAAGCAACACTAGACAAGGCTCTGTTGGGGGTTTTAAAGATAAAAAGGGACTGTCCTGTCCTGCAGGGGAAGAAAAAATAAGTTTTAATCTAGGAGAGGCAAAATATATGCTGACAGCAGCAATAATTTTAGACAGGAAATATTTATTGATTTTTATTAATAAACATTATTTGGACCTACAGGGTTTCATCATCCAAAACATCATGGTATTGTTAATTATTTACCAGTAACTATAGCCAGTGTAATTAGTCTACAAAGGGTTCAGAATATTTACTGTGCTATTTTTCTCAGTGATTTTATTTCCTCTGACATGTTCCAAAGTTTTCAAAACTTCATAATATGTAAGTGGAACTTTGTTCAATGTGTTTGCCTTGATGGGCATTTGCCATGTTTGGGTGGGTGGATTATTTCACTGTGAAACTTTTTGTGGAGCTTTTCTGCAGGTTTCAGCCTACATGGCTGTAAGAGGCTGGGGAAGCTCTATGGGGAAATAAATTGCTTCATTTTGCTGGAAAAGTTATGCATGTTTCTCAAGGGACTTTAAGGCAAAGGCTTTGGCACCCTAGTTGAGAAATAATACAGATGATGGAAACAAACATTGGTTTAGCCTAAACTAGATTTTAAAGATGGAAGTTGTTTAATGTAAAAAGGAAAGCATTGTCTCAGAAAATATTTATAATTTTCTTGAAAAATATTTATCCTGCAAATAAAATCTGTATTTTGATGAAGATGATGCTGGTGATGGTGATGGTGGTGGTTTTGAGAGGAGAGAATTAGTACAGAGGAAAAAAAAAAACTTGTCTCACCAAGATTAGTTGATACAGCTTCATGTGATCAGTTAGTGAAGGTCTTTGGCCAAGAATATAGAAAAAAGATAACAAATGAGCAAATAATTATGGAGTCCCCTTTTCGCAGAGGCTATGCATAGCTGTTTTTGGAGAGGAAAGACAGTAACCAAAAGAGCTGGCTCTGTCACTTTGTAGTTGTGTGCCTTTTGGCAAATGGCTCATCTATCTTCTCTGAGCCCTGATTTCCTGGTCTATGGGGACAGTAATCCTGTCCTGCATAGTACCCCACGAAGGTCAGCAGTAGTGTGCTGCTAAGTCACATCCTCCATGCTCAGTGGATCGGTCATTGACAGTCAACCCTACTTTTCAAGGGACTTAAGGCAAATGGCTCAACACCCTAGATGGGAGATAATAAAGGGGATGACACCAAGAAAACAAAGTATCACATTCCACCAGGAAAAACAAACTACATTTCCGCGTGAGTTTTCCAAATCATAAAATACCAAACTAACCTATCATAGTGTGTATGCTTCTGGGGAGATGAGTTTTAAACCTGTCTAATGGTAGATGGGAGAATTCAGAATAAGTATTTTGAATGGGACTGTCTAGAATCCATAGTTTTGACTGTTGAAAACCGTCTCTTGCTGCCACCAAAAGCTTACAAATATTGCCTGAAAAATTATTTCAATTTCCATTAGATTGGAGCCATCAATTTATACCTGAAATATGTCAAAATGTTGGGTATTTCAATAATGATAAAAATGATTGGAATTGCCATGTTTAATTAAAATGTTAGTCCACTGTCATCTCAACTGATAGCAATTTATAGAGATTTTTCTATTTGCTGTTAAGATGTTTTATTATTTAGTGAAAATCTTGCTGTTTAAGCAATGCCTGATGTTAAATTAAGGAGGAAGTGACAACTCTCCGGGGTGTGGGGAGAGGTGACCCCTTCATCGAGGAGTGTCTCACAGGTAAAGGGAGTGATTGTAGAGGGGGGCAGAAAGACCACCCTATCTCTAAGACCCTCCCCAGCCTATTTCCTGATGTTCAAAAATCTTTTTTTTAATAGTTATTTTTTAGTTTTAAGTGGGTACAATATCTTTATTTTACATTTATGTGGTGCTGAAGATCGAACTCAGTGCCTCAAGCATGCTAGGCGAGCACTCTGCCGCTGAGCCATAACCCCAGCCTCTCAAAATCTTTTAATAATAAGCCTGGCTGAAGTGCAAAAGATTTTGGAAAAAGAAAATCAAAGTTTAAATTCAC